ATTCCCAAACGACTGTGAGACAGACAAAGAACGCTGACTTCCTCACAGTGCTCAGCCACCGCAATTCCCCATCACTTTCCTTAGAATCCTTTCTCTAATACAGTGATTTTCGCACAAAACTGATTTTCATCATTTTTTTTCTTATTGGTTTAAAAAATAAAAGCTAGGATCGCCTATTCAGAACACATAATTCGCGACGGCTGCTAGATTAAATACCCTGACAGTGAGGATTGAAAGCTTGATGGTCGACCGACCTCTGTCAAACCCCCCCTTCCTCCGCCTTTTGTGTCGAAGCATCCCGCTACTTCCGACCAGACTTTGAGGTGACCAAGTCGCGTCTTACAAAAAACCGTGATTGCTTTTTGCCTGCTCTTGGTTCTTCCCCTCGCAGCACTCATTTCCTTTAAGTTTTCCAGTCCCTTGCACAATGAGGTCCACTTATTGTTCACAACATCCCTACACATTTCTTCAAGAACCTCTTCCCTTGCTTTTGCAAGATCAATACTTCATTAGCGAATTGAATATGATGTCGCAAACTACAGTTTTTGTCGCAGCAGGTCGCTTTTTTGTCGAAGCACCTATACCTGATCGCCTTCAACAAGTAAAACCCAGTCTCAATATCTTTCTGTATTAGCTGTAACACAAAGAAGGCTGTTGTAGCCGCCTAAAACAGCTTTCACGCACTGCCCTTAGATCTGTACCGGTAACAGTAGACTTGATATACATCTGACTCTTCTTCCTTGATTTTCAGAGCTTCTGGCAATGTCTCTAAAAACCCACCTGGTCATCTAAAAAGTGGAACTTTCAAGGCATCGAACAAAATAACAATGGTGAGACGCAGATATGTTTACGCTTCAGAAAAAAAAATTTTTTTTACATATTAACACTTATCCACATAGATTACAGAAATCACTGACTATAATGCCGGAACTGAGATCACAAATGAGAGCAGTTGCAAAATTAAATTTACAGAACACAGAAAAAAATGCACTTTAACAGTCTCGTCTTTAAAAATACCAACGGCTTTCAGAACCAATCAAGAGGGACGGAGTCTCAAATCGAACAGACGAGGTAGCTCATCAGAGAGGACCATGATTTGCTTTCCTATGAAATCCATAAGAGGTATTTTTTCTTGATAAGCCTCTTTAATTACTCGATCCAGCTCAGTGTCTAGCGCAACTTCCTGCAGAAAACGGAAATAATAAAAATGAAAGTTAAAAACAAAAACTGGATGATCCAAGTCACCATGACGTTTTTTAAAAATACACGAAACGTTGCAAACATTAAAACTTTGAAAGCATCCTAAAGTGTGACGTACCATGACGTAACAGTATCCTGGATGCTTCCTCGCTGCAGCGAGAAGCCTTTGTCGATCGGCTTCACATCTGTCCACAAATTCATCTTCTTCCCTACTTTTTGAAAATTCCTCCGACTGTTCTTCGTCTGACTCTTCAAAAAGCCCATTTTGGAAATTCATGGCTGAACTACTGCTACACGTTAACCTCTGAGCATCTGGCGAAAGCTCCATATCTTCTGATTCTAGGAATCAAGAAACCAATATTTGAAAGATTAGCACACCTTCATTACGTCAGAATTAAGTCTTCAAATGCCCAAAAATGGGTGAGGAATTTTTGATTCCATCTTCAGCAGCAACATTTTTCTCACCGATTTTTTCTTTTTCTTCTTTTGCGAATACACGTCCACTGCGTGTACACCTCTTTGCGTAAGTTTCTTCGCTGCTTGTTAGATGTGAGTCACTTCCCACTAAAAACAACTGTTACTTTTCTCTTAAAATAAGTCAAGAAACTTAATATGATCTTCCTCTCACTTGTCAACAACTCCTTAAAATCAAACCAACAGACTTTCTCAAATTTTTAGCCATAACCTCTTTCCATCAGCAAACTCGACACTGTCTGCGCAACATCATCTTCCCTTATCCTTTTACGCAACCCTCCTCTCTGCATAGCATCAGGAGCTGGGACTGCTCTAACTGCTTCAGGTTCAGTTTCTACGTCTAGAAAAGCGAGGAGTGTTCAAATATAATAATAGCAAAATTAATAATAACCACAGTAACTGAAGAGTCGAACTAATCTTTCTCTCACTTAAGATTTTTTCTAACTGAAACACAGCTCTAAACAGGAACTTACTCTTTATATAAGTCGCACGAGTATTAAATGCATTAAACGATAGTTTTACATCATGTCTGGCTTCCAACCTGCATAATATGTTTGGTCAAAAAAAGATGTTCATAATGACATAATCCAATGTAACGTGCAAATGGGTAGATGTGTTTGAAAATGTTCACGAAAAAAAATCATGAAGGAGAAAGGCATATAGTTTGATAAAGCACTATATCTTTAGATGACAGGAGAGAACTTCATCGGTAAAACTAACAACTTTTTCTTTCTAGACAAATCCATCTCTAGCGCGTTAGCGATGTACAGAACCCGATCAATGGGCAACCTCGCATCCTCAATGTGGTCATACATCTGTTTCCGGAAGCTAAAACCTCAGAAGTTCTAAGGGAATAAGCAACTGTTGGAAATGATTTATATAAATTAGATTTTCTTTTGAAAGCCTTGGTTTTTAATTTGGTAAAAAAATCGTTTATAATTTTTTTGCGGCTCTGAGACAATTAAGGACCAAAAGTGCTTCATTTTTACTTTAGTGGCTATTACTCACTGCGACGTAAGAGAAGTTGAAGTTTTAGCCGTTCTACCACTTTCTGCGTATTTCTTCCACAGGATGTGTCCTTTTGGTTTGAGTGCTGCTTCTGAGTTCGCTTTCAGCTCCCTAAGGACAATTAAGATGCACTATATTATGCGGAAAAAAAAATTTTACTCTGCTTTACTTCCGCCCACTCCATCCTATCTCAAAACCTTTCTTTTTCCTTTCTGCATATGAAGTCCGCAAAGAAGCCCTGTCCACTCAACGCAGTTTTAGAGGAATTTGACTGTATATGCGCCACATCGTTAAACCAAAACAAGTTTGAGTGATTATTTTAATATCAGAGGTTTTCTGTTTCGTTTTTGAAAAATTTCTATAAAACCATTCTGCAAAATCGTCAGAAATCTCGCACACCATAACTGCCCTTCACACAAGTACCACAGTGAAGGATCTTGTTATTTTTGCTTATTCTTGGTCACTCTGGAATTGAGCAAACGATCAATCACAGCCTCACAACCTCACAGCCAACAACATGTAACTGACTCTTCCAATTCTTACAGACAAATGTGAAGTTGCAAAGCCGAGTACAGCTCCTACATGCAGATACTTATGTAGCTTCGCTTTATAAAAATTAAGTTCCCTGCTGCTGACTTTACAACCCTACTTCATGACCTAGAGCTAAAGACGCTCATAAAGAAGAAAGAATAAATTTTTAACTCACATAAAAATGAAGCTGTCAGGTCGCAGTGTACTATTTAAAAAAAGCACTTCCGTATTCAAACTTTGTGTAAGTTCTTGTGGGCTGTGAAATGATAAGAATTCGAGGCGAACGATACAAAACTAACTTAGACTCACGAGAAAAAGCAGATGCCAGTTCTATCAGAAAAAAAAAAAGTCCTTTACTTCGAACAGACACCATAATGCGTCCGCACGAGGAAATAAATACACATAGAAGTGTCGCTAAACATTTCAAACTTAAGCAGCAACGTAAGAAATGTAACAGCTGCCGAACCAAGTCTGGTAAAAACAGCTTACTATAAGTGTATCCTTATTGCCGAAAAAAAATAGTACAAAAAAGATTCACGGAAAGAAATGCATTTCTTATGGAAGTGCGACGTGTACTGGTAGTAAAACAATATCGAAACAATGTATTTTGCCTTTTATTAATCTTCTTCACCTTTTTGATGAGACTACAACAATCGCTAAAATTACTCCCAAGAAAAAAAGCATCCAAATCTCCTTCCTCAGATTAGAAAACGAAAAGAGGAGAATTAAAACAAACACGTCTCTTGCACAACACATATCTCACACGTCCAGATGCATGTGACCAGTTGATATGCGCATACAAGTAACAAAATATAAAGCAATCAACTAACTCGTATAAAAATTCCCACATTGACCGTTCTTCACGATACGTGTACTTTGATCGCAGCATTTTCCTTTCCCTAGAAGCACTTTTAATCTAAGATTCAAACAGTACATTTATTTTCGCTCTCGACATGTATATATATATATATATATATATATATATATATAT